AATTTTCTCTGCGGAATTAAACGGAAACGCAACCGATTAAATATAAAATGCAATAGAATTTCTTCTGATTCCATACTCGTTCATTTTTAGCTGCGTGAAATCTCGTTACGAGCAGTGATCGTTATTGCGTTGGTATGTACAGTGGCTGTATTGAATTGTTTCTATTGGACTATATACCGTGACTATATCGCGTAAGACAAATAAAAAAATAATAATAATTAAAAATTAAACAGACAGTAAAAAAACTAACAAATAAAATTTTAATACATTCTTATAATTAAATATATCGTTCTTCGCGTTAATAAATAAATGTAAATATAAACAAATGTAAATGTATAAATATTTTAAGAGCGAAAAGTTTGCTAAAATGATTCATCAAACTCTATTTTCACTCGTTGCACGCTGTCAACAATTTATCTGTATGGCTACGGTTATTCGAGAAGTTTTCTAATTTGTCAGAACTACGACAGAATGTTCGCCCGGTTTTCCTTACAATTGGCTATCATTAAACGGTCATAGCCGTCGACGAGCTCGCAGAAGTTTACAGGCCGGATACTCGTGACGATTTAGGTACTGCTTGCACAAATATTGTCCATCCCTGTGCACAATTGGTGCAAAACTCTCGTGATTTTACTGGCCATGTTGTCGCTTTTACAAAGTTCACTTTTAATTGCCCGTTATTAAATAGTTCATTAAAGTGTTACGCTCGCGGTGAAGATTAAGTGGAAATAACGATGCATAGCCAGCCTTTGTTAGAACGAGCATAGTTAGTCACTTAAAAGAAACGTGTTTAAAACTTATCAGGTGAGACGTGTTTAGAAATCTCTTGCAACTTTCCCGAAACGAAATACATGTAGAAAAACGCAGGAAGAATGAAACCTGCGTTGTTGTGAAAAAAAAAGCAGTAAAAGCTATTACAAGTTTTTCAGCGACTGTCTAAATAAAGTTCTCGCTAACAAGATGTAAACAAAACTCTAAGTGGATATACGTGAAACTTATATACGTACATTCTTATCGCGTTTCTATAGTCACTGTCGGAGCTGCTAAGGTATATAACAAAGTACAAATTTGATTTACGTTCTTGTTCTTAAGTTTGTATTCCTTAGAGAAACATCCTAAAAATGCTTTTTTCTGCCTTTAAACATGTCGCGGTATCTATATTATCAAAATATCATAACTGTCTGCTATCTGCAGAGCATATATCTCTACAGAGCATATATATATATATAAATGCACATACGTCTATTTAATTTCCTGTGTAAACATTGATCATCGAACAGTTATTTCGCGTTCTCTTTTATCGTTCATACAACTGCAACTATTATTACAACAGTTGAGTTACACGTAATTGAAATTTGTTTTAATCCATGATTAGGAAATGTAAAAAAGGATATTTCACTTTTATAAGATATTAAAAATTTTTTTATATTATTACAAAGTTTAAAACTTTATCGTTGAAAGTTTTGATTAAACTTTATTATGGATGTTCCTCAAAATTCGTCAGGAGTTATGGGCTGATCATAGCAAGTTTCAGTTAAAATACGTGGCTTCTATTTTAAGCTATTTTACAATATTGAAATTGTTGAAATTATTGATCTTTTTTGAAAAAGAAGGGGATAACATTTACTAGTGTTTCCTTATCGGTATAAAAGGAAATTTCACTTATAAATTATTGCGCATTGTACGTAATAAGTATATACTGTAAATTACTCAGCTGTGACTGGTCTCTCCGCGAGATTAGTTGAGATAATTGGATGAGCAGCCCGAAGGCAGAGCGTGAAACTGCACGTGGGCTTGGATGACGTTGATTTTATGAAATTAGGCGGACAAGGTAAATCGAGAAGCGATAAACTTGCCGCTAACGTGAACTTTGACAGTACGTTGACCCACGCTTGTCCAGCTGTATGGCCGTGGTATAAATCAATATTAATTTTGCTAATTATGTTCTATCCTATTACGATAGTAATATCGATAGTAATATCGATGTGCCGAGGAACAGCCGTCATTTCCGCTGAACGAACGCATCTTGCGCTTTAATTAATTGGTACGCGATCGTTAAAATCCTTTCCGTCGTAACGTAGTATCGGTTTCGCGCATAAGTACTAAAATATTTTTTATAGGACGAAAGAAATGTTAGCAATGTTATGTCATATATCTTATGATATTTATGTATTGTTTATGTTATTGTAAGTTTATATAAATCTTTTTTGTTTAGACAATAAACAAGCAATATAAAATATA